ATAGCCGACCTCTTCCATGTACCAGGTACGTATCTCGCTTCCCCTCATCAGACCCTGTCCACCCACACTCGCCTCCTTCCTGAAGACCACCGATCACCCTCTTACCCCCTGGCGCCGTGCAGCCCGGCTATGGATGCTAGCGCTCCGCTGCCCTGCAGCGCCCCACTTCACCACTCACACGCCCGCACACGCTCTGGCCCCAAGCTGTCTCTTATACACATCTAGATGTGTATAAGAGACAGCCCCCAATCCCCAACCCCCCAACCCCCCAACCCCTTTTTCTGGAAACAAAGGCCTTATCCTATGGTTTTGTTTGTCTGAAGTTCCTGGCAATCTGTTGTTGTTATGCCACTGTCATTTTTTCTTTTTTCAATGTACAAATTTGAGGGGTAGATGTAAGGCCTATTATGACCCTTAGTACCCTGGGGTTTGCTATTGGATATGCACACATGTACCTTGGACACCCACCCACCCACCCACCCACCCACCCACACCCATTGCTGAGTGGGTGTGTAGAGTGGGTTCTATGACTGTGACAGATTAGTTTGTCAGACTTACTGCCGTTCTTGTCAGGGTCCTGGACCGACGGCCTGCTAGGAGTGCAGGGTTGGTGTGAGGTAAAGTCGACCACTTTTCTCAGGGGTATTGCTAGCTCTGGTTGATGTGGTGAGTCCTTATCCATTGGTCAAATGCATCCTGGGCAGACTGTCTGTCCAGGTTCAACCTCCTGATGAGTTGGTGAAAGTCCGACGAAGTAGTCTGGCGCAGTCATGCTGTTTTTGAGTGTATAGTGAATATGATGACGACACACACATGCACAATGGCGTCGGTGTGCTGCTTCGTCCTTGCTTTTCATTTTTTGTTCCCTTTTTTTTTTTTCATGTTGACTCAGCTTCTTCCTTGTTTTTTTCTCATTTAAATTTGGGTATTGAAGCATATTGTGCGTCTATGTTTGTCATATTATGCAATTCAAGCTTTTAGGTATAGGTTAACCTGGCCATGAGGGCAGCGGTTGGTGCCCACATCAGGGCAGCAGCTGTCACACAGCCGTTGATGCTTAAGCGCAAGCAGGTTAAGGTGGATTATCACTAACAGTATCATCGGGTAGGACTGTAGAGGGTTCAAACTTCAAACCTCCGTTGGTGAAACACCGCCAGCTTGCTGCTGCTGCTGCTGCTGCTGCAAGCTCACAAGTCGATTACACTCGATCTATCGCATGGTGGAGTCAGAAAACACTGAGTTTTTCTATCTCATGAATTAATTCCTTTAATTGCACTGCTGTGGTGGTTAAGCTGTGGTGTATAATTCTGTCTTTTTTTCTTCTTCTCCCCCCCCCCCCCTTGCTTTTCAACCTTGGCTTTGCGTGTGTCGTCACAGGTATATGGCTCAGCAGAAGTTTGACCAGGCCATAGAGTTGACTGAGTCAGGAGCAAAGCTACAGCTTCGGCATGGACAGGTTGGTGAGCAGCAGATGACCAGCGTGAATCTGCCAGCTTTCGCTTCGAAAAGATCATAGAGAATGAAAAGGGAGACTCCTGACAGTACAGACAAAGATTCTGAGTGATTGCTTGCACTTGTGATGTTTTCCTTTGGCTCTCGAAACTCCTCAGAGAGAGAAGCTCTGGAAACTCCCCAGAGAGAGAAGTTCACCAGTTGATAGCCTTGGATAGTGCTGTGATAATATTATATCTGTCTCTTATACACATCTAGATGTGTATAAGAGACAGAATATTATATTGTGCCCTTTTATCTTTCATAGATGGTCTATCTTGCAGAGTCGGATGATGTCGTAATGGGACATTTAAACCACCAGGACCTGCCCAGCTATTCTGCCCCCCCCCCCCTCCTTCATGCTCAGAGCTTGCCAGGCAGGGTTGGTACAGGCTTGGGCTATGCTCGCTTTTGAAGCAGAAGACAACCATGGCCCTTTCCTCCGACATCGGGCCTTGGGGCCCCGGATGTATGGGACTGGAAAGATAGCTTGTGTACATCCAAAATGAGACACCTATGGGCTTTGTTATTTTCTGAGTATATTCGATTGCTTTGGCTTTGAGAGATCGATCATCAAAAGCTCGGTAAAAAAAAAAGAAAAAAAAAATAAAAAAATTTTCAACTATGGTGACCCTGGAGGCCCAGATGGAAGCCTGGGTTATGACCGCTTTCTATTTTTGTGTGTAACTTTCATTTTGTCTTTTGACCGTTTCTCGGTTTATGCGTGTCGCCCTTGCGCAGGGCCATTCTAATCCTTTCTTAATTTTTCCAATTTCAGTGGATGTCCTGAAGAACGTTTTCTTATATTTTATGCTACCTGACACGGGTACTCTTTTCTTTTGTTCGAATCGAGCACGCGTTCTTTCCGCTCTCCTTGACCTACCTTACCTTGTCCATGTGCTCATGCATGCATACACCTCCATGCTCGAATCACCCTGCTCCGTCCTTCCTGTCCCCTCGTGCTGGTGAAATGGGGGGGGGGAAATAAAATTAAACAAGGAAGAGAAGATGGTGGCACGAACTGATGCACAATTTCTCTGCTTCAAGAAAGGAAAGGAATGGACTGGACTGTTGGATGATCTTCTTTGTTTGCTGCGTCGCAGGTCTTATGTGGTGCGGAACTGGCACTGCTGCTGGTCGAAACGTTTTTGAAAGCAGAGGTCAAGTTCAGTCCAGAAGCTCTCGGTATGTTCGCTCCCTTAGCCACCTTGGGCGAGAATGGGGGGTCTGTTCTTTGCTTGTCTTTTTAGGGACCTTTCTTATTTCTGTTTTGTAGTTGTTGGATTCCCCATAGTGCTGTTAAGTTTCGTTTTGTGGTTTTCGGTTTCCCCATGGGACAGTTTGTACAATATTCAATGTCAAGGTACGGACTGGTTGAGTTGTGATCATCGGACGTTTTTAGATCGGGTCCCATCATGTATATGCAATGACGGTCTCGCTCTGTCTTTTGTGGCAAGGATAGAGGATGATGTATCCAATCCGTGTACACATGCAATGGCGGTTTTGGAAAGCACCACTTTGTGTTTGCAGCTCTTTTTTATCGAACTTAATGGAATGAGATTGAACTGGCGCCGCTGCCACTTCCTTTGCGTTGGACATGTAATCAGTTGCACAAAACCCGATTGTCTTTAGTATTTCGTATTCTTCAAGATCACGGAAAGGGATCTGGGTAAACTTGTAACGGTCTTTCTTTGATAGTAAGGGTGTCTACCGTCTTCCGCTGAATAGATTGTATACATTGTGTAGTCCTTAATGCCTGTATTTGGGGCGAGTTTCAGTCTAGAGGCAGCGGTAATGACTGTACATTCTATTCAGGGGAAGACGGTACCAACCCTTGTCTCCACACATGGTTTGGCAGTGAACTCTTGCGTAGCAGAAAGCGTCAAATGGCCATCCATGTAATGTTTCATTATGTCACACAGTAAAATTGGGGTTAGACCGTTAGACTTAGTAGATGTCCAACGCACAACGCGTTACATGCCCATGCTCGTAATGTTTCATTATGCACCACAGGAAGTGTGGTAAGATATTAACTATGGATCTTAAAGGCGTCCGGTCTCCTGTGTGTATTAGTTTTTGTCGAGTTGCTCTCCGTCTTCGTCCTCCTCCTCCTACTTCCCCGGAGTCTCCCCCGTGGTCCTCTCCATCAGAGCTGAGGAGAAGGGCCAAGCCCGCCTTCTTCCTCCTCAGCGTTGTTATGCTGAGATCTCGCTCCAGCAGACTGTCGCCAAACTTGCACTTTGCGAATGGGGTTGAGCCTCTTGCCTCCATCGAAGATATACCTCTTCTTGCGTTTTGCTTGGAGGCCGCGCGGACTCCCAAGTCTTCTGGTAACATCATTGAAGACTGATATTCCCCTCCGCAGGGCCCAGGCTCAGACCACTGAACAAACACCCCTAGATTCTAAGCCTACCGGACTTCTAAAATTCACTTTGGCCTCTGAAGGTACTATCTTTTTGTCTTTTCTGCCTACCTACTGCTACTTGGGGGTTCAAATGTTCCTAGCCTACTTCTAATTCCCCGGTGCACCCGCACGACAGCTCGGCCACAGGTAAGTACCAGGCCCATGGGACTTCTCAGTACACAACTAGCCTTGCGGGTCGCACATACACTCGAGCAATCATGCTGTCAGGCAAACACACGGAACCTCGGCAAACATGCACACACGTGTACTTAGAAATCTCAACGGAATACGGGAATCTCAGCAAGTCACTCGGTGCGGCATCAAAACTCAGAAAACTGCGGGCTTTTCAGTCTGTGATTTTGCAGGTGATTGCAAACCACACTTTTCCACCTGTTCACATGGCTTCATAGTGAGACCTAGTGTTCACACGACGCCATGGTGCATGATGGTATATTGAATAATCCCTGGAGGCTGAAAGCCCTGGAGCTATAAATCATGGAAATCTCTATGGCATCATCCAGCCAAAATGGTCCATGAGACCGAGCCCCAGGAGAATGCTGTGGTGAACAAATTTGTTGCCAAAGTTTGCCCGGAAGAGGTACTGGTGGCTCAACATTGTACTCCTATTATTCTGACACAAACAAGCCTTCTTTTCCTGCTCTCTGCGGAATAGGTTTGTCATGTGTGAGTAGGACTACAAGTCTATAATTTTTATGATTGAAAAACGGAATGAAATTGATTGTCATTTTCGCCTACGGTATACTGTCTCACATTGCTGCACAAAATCAGCAGCAAGTTTTTTTTTTTTTCCCCCTTATAAGGATGTAGCCTATCATGTAGGGTTGTTCTGCTTTATCCAGCATTTGTCACAATAGAATCAGACTAAATGCAGTGTCACGACTTGAAGGTCGATATAGCCGAGTTTGGCAAAATTATGTGTGTGAGGTAGAAAATGGGCTCTCTCAGAGACTAGAACTATGAGAACGTGCAAGGTGCACAATGAGTAGACTGGCTGAGTTTGTGCTCCTTCTTGTGGCTTGGTTCTGGGCACTGAAATTGTGTGCACTTGTATGAAGCACGGATTAGGGATGTCTTTGAATGCTTCCCTAGGGAGCAAGAGGAGACAGCTGCAGAGTGGGTGATCCTTGACAGAGACAGTCCAGAGACACAGGGGGAGCCAAGCAATGAGAGGACTGAAGCTGAAAAGGCGGAGGCAGAGAGGGCAGCAATCGCAAAGAGCAGAGTTGAGGGATGCTCTGCATTCCTCAAGCAGGCACTAAAGTATGTGGTCTTTGCCTTGGCCTCTTGTTGTTGAAGAAATGGACTGTGTGTGTGTGTGTGTGTGTGTGTGTGTGTGTTGTTTTAAAAGATCCCAGATTCTCTCTCTCATTTCATAACGAAAAAGTATAGATAAGCAATATAATAGAAAATGCAAGTGTGTGTGTGTGTGTGTGTGTGTGTGTGTGTGTGTGTGTGTGTGTGTGTGTGCTGTCTCTTATACACATCTAGATGTGTATAAG